TTCTTGTTTCTCACAAATAGGATTTCTATGGACTTCCATCACAAAAACAATGTTAGGATGACCAAGTATTCCTGACATGAAATCTCAAGCCAAATTAAAAACCCCACTTCAGCCAAGAACATAATATTTTTAACTTTGCAGAATAACAACTTACAAAAGCATGGTATAAGTGATCAGATAACTTTCTAAAAGTTCACATTAAGAACAAAGATGGAGTCTCTTTGGTTCTATAATTTCTTAGGTATAATAGGAAAATACACATATTTTTTCCATATATAACATTTCCAATACATGAATTGTCAATATTATTGACAAATTTTGCTGAACTTTTGTTTTTAATTTTTAGTGGTAAAACCTTTTTTCCCAAACAGGACTATTTACAAATTAGGCCACTGTAGTAGAAGAAATAACAAAAAGGGATAAGTTGCCATGTTTACTGCTTTTAAATTTTCTGGATGTTCCCATTCTAGTTTCATCCCTTTCTGGAGAAGAATGAATTTCTCAATCTTTCCAGATTCGAACTGTACTTGGACCAAAATGGAGATTTAGCAGGTAATGTGAAGATGGTGACCTCAGTGTATTTCCCTAAGAAGTCTGTCATCGTGGAGAAAATTGTGACTTTTGAAAAAAAGAGAATTATTATCAACGAAGCTCTTTTGTCACGTCTAAAGTTGCACAACAGGGTGAGAGAAACATTTATGTCTTTTCTTTTTTTTCCAAAGGATTGCGAGCCATTTCATTGGGTTAAGTCTATGCACCATGACTTATTGTTGAAATGGAGGAGCCACGAGTAAAATGATAAAAGACCTTCAAGTGCTAGGAATGATAGCCTCAAGTTGTCCTCTAATTGTAAAAGAAGAAGGCAATTTTGTTGATCAGTGCCTGAGTTCATGAAATTGAATTCAAACTGGATGAAGGCCCTTTTGATTCCATTGGGAAATAAGCTTTGTAATCAGGATTCATCTTGTCCTTGTTGGAGTGAGTGTCCCATGAACTGGCAGGAAAGATATATTGAAGCAACTCACACCTGGCCAGAGTTATCCCTGCCTCTTTTTCACCCAGTGAAAAAGGGCAATAAACCTTCTGCTCCTAGGAAGGTGGTCCAAAGCTTTGAGTTCCCATGGAGTTATAATGATGTTCTGCTATGCCCTGACCCAGAAAACAGAAGCATTTAAACATGACTTTGACACATAGAATAGAATAGAATAGAATAGAATAGAATAGAATAGAATAGAAT